TGTATTGATAGTTCTTATTTTACAAACCTAGTTTAACCTTTAAGAGATCACAAGAGCCTAGTGTTTAATCTACATGAGGAAGTCTCTCTGACCTTAAATCTGGTCTAGGTATTCTTTTTCCCATGTTATATTCAGTTTCTCAATTTGGGGAGGGATAGAGGTGCCAGTTTATCATTATCAATTGAGTTTTGTTTTTTTATAAACTTTGTTTAATGCTTAATTAATCTTATTGATCTACTTAACAATTTCTACTTAACATTTCTTTGAATATTTTATCAGTACTTATCTAATAAATCAGAACTCATAAATTAAACAACTTAAATGTCCCCAGCCATTTAATTATTAATTGTTTAAAAAATTCCCACCCCTATGAGAATCAGGGACTACTACCTTTCACAACTTGGATCCAGATTTATTTACAGATACCCTTTCTTCACTCTCATTTGCCTGCCCAGTCATACCAGATTATTCTGCTCGTTTTTTTTTTTGAGGAAGCTTGGCCCTGAGCTAACATCTGCTGCCAATCTTCCTCTTTTTTTTGCTGAGGAAGATTGGCTCTGAGCTAACCTCCGTGCCCGTCTTCCTCTATTTTGTATGTGGGACACCACCACAGCATGGCTTGATGAGCGGTGTGTCAGTCCATGCCTAGGATTCGAAACTGCGAACCCTGGGCTGCCAAAGCGGAGCATGTGAACTTAACCACTATGCCACGGGGCCAGGCCCTATTCTGCTCCTCAAACCCCCAGTGCAATGTCTCTCTCTCCTTTAACTGCCTTTACATTGTTTGCTCAGTCAGGAACGCCCTCTCTTATTAACATGCTCCTTCCCTACGTCTAAGCCCCTGAGGCTAAGCCGAATTAACTACTCCCCCATCTGTTACGATAGCATGTCTCACATTCTATATTCATCTGTCTCTTGCCAGACTGAGCTACTTGAGGGCAGGAACTATATAGAGTAATATGCCTAAAGTTATAGTATACAAGTATTTAGACTTAAATATGAGCTAACAAAGTAGGTTGACTTGTGGTCTGGAGACCCAGATTCTAGTGGTCACCAGCCCTACACTCTAAGCCCTACCTTCTTTTAGACCTTGGTTGGAAGTCAGTACAGTATATTGAGTAAGATGATGGGCCTTGGAATCAGAAAGATCCTGGTTTGAATCTGAAGTCTGTCACTTACTAGCTTTATGAATTTGAGCAATTTACTCTCATCTGCAATACCTCCTACCTCTCAGGTATGTTATGAGGATATGGTGAAAAGACACATAAAAGCATTTAGCATAGTGCCCATAACAGAGTAGGCAGTCAATAAATGGTGCCATTTTTTTCATCGGTAAGGCATTCAAAATAGAATTTAGCCAAGTTATACAAAAATGGAAGGCGTGGAGCAAACACTACATTAAGGAGGATGAAAAATAAATGACTAGAGAACAAGGAACTTGAATATCAATCTGAGAAATATAAATCTGATTAGGAATGTAATTGGGATAACTTAGAATTTAGTATGAGAGTGACCTAAAGAAAACAGCACTTAAAGAAACTAATTCTAAGTGTAATTGAGAATAGGATGTCCGGGAAGTAGATATTTAAGTTAAGGGGAGATTCATAATTCACATGTGACATGAAAAGATCTAGAGTTGAAGTGTGGTAATAAAGAATGAATTAAAACTGTGAAGAGGGGCCAGCCCTGTGGCTTAGCGGTTAAGTGCGTGCGCTCCGCTACTGGCGGCCCGGGTTCGGATTCCAGGCTCTCACCGACGCATCGCTTCTCCCGCCATGCTGAGGCCACGTCCCACATACAGCAACTAGAAGGATGTGCAACTATGACATACAACTATCTACTGGGGCTTTGAAGGGAAAAAAAAAAAAAGGAGAAGGATTGGCAATAGATGTTAGTTCAGAGCTGGTCCTCCTCAGCAAAAAGAGGAGGATTAGCATGGATGTTAGCTCAGGGCTGATCTTCCTCAAAAAA